ACCATCAATTGTTACCATCAAGTAACAATTTGCACCAGTGATATGCATGTAAGGCTATACAGTGAATTTGGTAGGATGTTGCTGTTGAAATTAGAAATTTGAAGGGTTCACAGGCATCACTGCATCTTGCTATACTGAAGTCTGTACAAATGTTTTAACATTCTTTCAAGTTCAGTGCACTCATTTCAGTTGTTTCAGTTAACATTATTGCATTATAAGTATATGTTTATTTTTTTTGATGTAAGTTGTCTTGAAAATAATTTGCTTTAGAAAAGTACTCTGAATTCCATTAATACTATTAAACTTATTAATATAGAAAAGAAGCCAATTCACTAAATTTGGATTATAGCAAAATATTTATTTTAATTTTATAACCTCAATATTATAGAATTTCTTTTCAACTACAAATAGCATTATCCCATCTGGTCTGTTCTTGGAGAAAGGAAGATATGTGAATTCAAAATACTTAAAATGGATGGGTTTTAAATTTAACTTGTTTTGTAATTATTACAAAATTAGCCTAACCATTTTTACAATCTTGCCAAGAAAACTGTAGGGACTATCCAGGCAGATGCCAGGAGCCAGCAGAGACTCAAACATAATAAAACAAAAGGAAATAAAACAAACAAAAACTGGATAAAAATTCAGATCTGCTCATATCATCATCATCATCATCATCATCATCATCATTATCATCATCATCTTCCTAGTGTTATTCTCTCAGGTGCAAGGTCCACTTTTTGGATCGACGAATGCAGTCTTGCATAATCAAACACAGTATCCAGGTCACGTCTGCATTTTGACAGAAATGGTTTTAGATCCATAGGTTGTAACAAAAAACTGATGACCAACTTGTCGCCTGGGACTGATGCGGGTTTGGTCTCTATTCAGCTCAGCACTGCCCTGGTAGCAGGCAGTATCCAGTGGCACCTCTAGGAGGAGAAGACCTCACCAGCAGATCTGCTCATTCCATGAAGAAAAACTAAAGAATTAGTTGTTCTCCTACTCTAAAAAAGAGTCATTTTGATAAAGTCTTATACAACTACAGTATTACCAGTTTGAACTCACAACACAACCAGATCTGTGGTCTGTTGGAAATCTAGTTCTCGTAGAAACAGATGTTTCTATTCCTTTCGGTATGGAATAGATGTAGACCCATATTATCATCTGAACTAAATGCTGGAGAAATTCTGGCAACAAGGAATCATGAAATCAGATGATTTGCCACCTGGCTCTGATTTACTCAATAAACGTTGGGTTATGCTTTGACTTCAGTGGTGCCAGAGAGGAAGTGTCTTACATAGCGGAAAAATCATTCTTCTCAAACCTTAGTAACAACCGAATAGATTCCAAAAGATAAACCAGCATGAATTTGCTTTAGGCCTAAAATTAAGTGGAATATGCTTTAAGACAAAAATGATTGAACCTGTGAAAATAGCTGACCTTGCAAATTAGCTATGTAACTTGTTTAGGAAAGAAATTGTGGTCTGAAATCTAATATAATGTTCCTTTCAAAAGAGTGCTGCATTTTAAAGTGCCATAGCAAACAGAAGTAGATGCTAGGGTTTATTAGAGTTGTATTAGGCTATTTTATTTCATTAAGAATGGGTGGGTGGAAAAAAGGGACATGACCAAGTTTGCCCTGTTGTGTATGTGTGTGTGTGAAGGGGAATTAAGGGCTCCCATATGTTAAAATAATTTCTTATAAAATAATAATAGCTATAAAATAATATAGCCTTTTTATATGTATCAGAACAGTTTGGCAGGGTGATTCCGGGTGGAAACTGGAAGACCATGAGTTCTAATTATGCCTTGGGCACAAAGGCAGCTGCGTTACTTTGAGCCAGTTACGTCCAGCCTTTAGAAGGAAGCAGTGGCAAACCACTTCTGAAAAACCTTGCCAAGAAAACTACAGGGACTTGTCCAAGACCTGGACATGACTGAACAACTTTTTATTTTTATATCGTTCTATAAAAATGATAACAAAATACTAATACTTTTATTTGTGGAAATAACTATAACTATGGGATTTAACCTGGTTATGTGGCCTGGGCGCCTCCTTGTGGCAAACACTGGATACAATACATGTTCTTAAGTCTGGGTTCTTTGTATTGTATCTGAACTAAGACTCCCACCCTCCTTCTGTTAACCACAGTGGTGGGATCCAGCCATTTCACACCAGTTCGGCAGAACCGGTAGCTAATTTTTTATTGCCCAGGCCCAGAATGGACTTCCGGAAGCGGCATTCACATAGAGAACTGGTTGTTCCCATATTTGAATCCCACCACTGGCAGAAGGTCCCTGCTGGTGATTTTCAAGGAAACAAAAAGTGAAATGTCTTGATCCTTCTGGAATCCAAGACTACAGTGAGATGGAAACAAAGCATGGATGACCTGTCTGCTAGCAATGAAACTGATTCTAGTCAGTTTCTCTGCTTTGGTGATGAACAATTCCTATCTAAGTGGAGTCTTAATATAAATAATTTTCACCACCATCCTGAGGAACTGAATGCTGAATGAGTTGTGGCTCTTGAATCAAAAAGACAGAATTAGTCTAAAGAAGGTGATGAAGCACTAATAAGACATGCAAATCAGCTCTGACATGAAAGTATGCTTAAAACAGAGCTCTTCCAACTGATGTGTTTCCTGGATTCTCTACAGAAGCCATCAAGAAACATATTTAATATTTCAAATGGCCTCCTTCAGTGCAAGCTTTGCAAATCTCAGAACCACCTTGCCAATGGACTTTACACCACCCACACCTTGCTCCACATCTAACGGGAGGATCGCTGTTTTAGATTATGCCGTTAACCATCTTCAAGAGCCTAAACTGGGAGCAGAAACTCTATACTGCATGCACCTTCTATTCTTGCAAATTTACCCTGCAGAAAGGTGCAGAGCTTTGGAAAGATCATGTCAAGCAGTTTCCTCATAAATGGAAGCCGACCAGAATATGACATCATACCGTCTAATTAGACATTGGTCTAATAAATTAATATAAAAGACAAATTATGGTACCATACAGCACCCGAATGAACTCCAGTGAATAGATGCTGCCTGCAGTGTACTATCTATTCTGATGCAGAAATGGAAAAATGCATGTCTTGGACCTAAGAACATCACACATTATTCAGATCGATAATGCTTGCGCGTGTCTGTTTTTGCATTCCAAAACAGTCAAACTTATTCTACTTTTTTGTGTTATCTGCAATGATCATCTGTTAATGGCTTAAGATTATCTTTAGACTGCAAGATTCATGCCAAGTTATAATTCAGTACAAATCATATACTGTAGGGTGAGAGATTGAGAGAGGGGATTGAAGAGGGATGGGAGAGATTGAAGAGGGGATGGGAGAAGTATTTTGGGGGGAGGGAAAGGTATCGGTGGACTTTGGGATCCTCCACCCGCCACTTGCTTTGCTTTGATCAATTATTGACACATGATATAATTGTCCCCAACAGATAAACCATACAAAAATTCACAGGGAAAAAGAAAGTTCACTTTTGATCTTACGCTGTGGAAAAATAGGAGCCACGAAGCAATCTCTAAAGTACAGAGAACAAGAGAACAGCAAGTATATACATACTAAAGTTTTTAATGTAGGGTCTTGAAAAGCTTCATTCCTTTTTCAAAAAAACTCTACTCCCTATTACAGCAGAAAGTAATCTATATCCTATCCAAAGTCATCTGATTAAGGAATGCCTTTCTCTAAATATGCTTGCAAAACATCACGGTTCAAAATGTAGTGCTTCTGAACTGGAAAGTATTGGAGAAAATATGTATCAAGTTACCTGAACTGCTTATAAATCTGTTTCTCAACGAGCAAAGGTTTAACTAAAAAAGAAGAAGAAAGAAAGACCGCTAGATGGCATTAGGGGTTCATGATTTAGTATTTAGAAAAAAAGAAAAGCATTGCCTAGCTTCCCCTAATTTTGTTCAATGCACTGGTGCTTTGAAAAATGATAGCAAGTTGGATATTGCAAAATATCCTTGTCAACCAGTTCCCTAAGAGATACGTTTGTGAAAAGGCTAGACAGCCATCCGCATGGATACTTTAATTAGGATTCTCACACTGAGCAAGGGGTTTGACTTGATAGCTACAACGACCACTTTAATTCTGTAATTCTGTGGCATTTCTCTTTCACATAGCCAGCCAAATACTGCACATGACTGTGTTACAACATCAAACTCAGTTGTTTTAATTTTTTTCAACTAGCATTGTATTTTGTAAGCTGCCTAGAGTCCACTGGAATAGGCAGGTATATTAAATTTAAGTATTACTACTGCAAATACTACTCATGATTTTCTCTGGATATAAAAATGACTACATATTTTAAAACCCTTAGCCTTTCTCAATATGGGTGACATTTAACATTAACTGAGTCAAATATTTTATTGGCTCTGCTGCTACAAGGAAGATTTCAGGGCATCCCTATTGTTTCACATCCTTGATGCCATAAGATGAGTGAGTCTGTTTAAACATAGCTTATATTATCCTGCATATTTTATTTAAATGTCAGACTGAAATCTTTGGTAGACGTAAGATAGTTAATCGAATATGGAAGCTGGCAAAAGATTGAGAAAGTATTGTTTATTCAGTGTGTTTGGAATCTAGAGCTAAAACTAAAACTAATGAAGGAGAGAGCCAGCCTAGAACTAAGGAGAAATTTCTTGATCTTTAGAACAATTAATAAGTGGAATGACTTGACTCCAGAAGTTGTGGGTGCTTCAATACTGGAGGATTTTAAAAAGAGACTGGACAACTATATTTGTCTGAAACTGTATAGGGCTCCCTGCTTGAGCAGGAGATTGGACTAGAAGAATAACTCTGTTATTCTTTTATTCTGCTGTTCTGCAAGGATCTACCTAATTGTCATGACCTCCAATCTTCATTAGCTTTTAGTAGTAAAATGTAAAGAACAAAAAAGTGCTTCTGATCTGATCTCATTTCACCTGTTGATCCCTCTTAAAGTAGCTTTTTCTAGAGTTGCACAATAGCTTCATAGTCTCATGGAGTTTGAGATAAGGAGATCCAATATCCTTTCTCCACTTCTTGAAGACAGTATTTGCCTCATCAGTTCTCTAAGATTTCCCAACATGAATGCATCAGCTTTTGGCCAGCCAATCACCAAGTTTTTTTCAGCATCCCAAGATGCAACTCCTCTGGCCTGGAAGGTGAGAACTAATTCAAGATAAATAGATATAGTTTGACCACATTTCTGTTGGTCCCAAGCTTAAGCCTTCTTTCTTTATTCTGCATTTTACAGTTCTCTACAAGCCATCTATCTTCTTGTTGAGAGAAATTGAACCAAAGCTCTGCTTTTTCTTCCTTCTATTCCTCCAAAGCACCAGAGGGCAGGACAAGAAACAAGGGCTGGAAACTGATCAAAGAGAGAAGCAACCTGGAATCAAGGAGAAACTTCCTAACAGTGAGGACAATTAACCAGTGGAACAGCTTGCCTCTAGAAATCATGGGTGCTATATCACTGGAGGTTTTAAAGAAGAGACTAGATAGTCACTTGTCTGAAATGGTATAAGTTCTCCTGCTTGAGCAGGGGGCTAGACTAGAAGACTTCAAGGTCCTTTCCAGATTCTATTCTATTCTATTCTATTCTATTCTATTCTATTCTATTCTATTCCACCTCCTATATGTGTCTTGTCTTTTTTCCAAATCTTCACTGAAATTGTTGTTAGATAGTCACTACCTTTCAGTGTTTCTGTTACTTCCAGTTGTTAGACTCAGGCATTCCCAAGTGAAGCACAGCTAAATTTCTTGTGCCCTGTACAACCCTCTGAAGAAGAAAGTTGCCAGCAACACAAAATGGGAACTTACACTTTAGCAAAGATTGTGTACCGCCAAATGCTGACATAGTTAAATATCTACTTTTTAAAAAAAGCATCTTATTTGATGGATGGATATTAGCATACAACTGAATTATTTTTTCTTTGCCATGTATTTTTTTTTCTAAATAGACATTGTTTACAAGATTACAGGAGTCAGCCATTTGGATTCCTGTGAATGTGTGCTTAATCTACAATGAAATTCTTTTTTAAAATATCCTATATTTTTAAACAATTTCCACTCTTCAGTACCTATTCTAGAATAGGAATTATTAAATTATATTTGCTTTTTTGTATTAATGGTCAGGACTGGGATTGTTTATTTTTCAGGACATTATGGTAGAAACAGTAAAGGGCTTGGATATTATGAACCAATATTCTGATTCATTATTAAGTCATGTTATCGATTCATTAAAGCAATCTAATGTTTTCATAATATGACTAATTTTGGGACAAATTTTTGCAAACTATGCTCTTTGTATCCCTTGACCAATTTTAAATGACAATCAAATGTTCCATGTAATATAGTGCGGTGCTGATCCTGCAATAATCACAGTGCAGGCAAACTAATTTGGTTGTGTTAATGTTAGCTGAGAGAAAGTAATATCAGAAAATACGATAAGCTATTATTACATTCAAATGTGACAGAGTAAATATAAAGAGAAAGTTTAAGAAAATACACCAAAATAAATCAACTTTATGAGAAAAATACGATCTGAATACACACAAACACACAGACACAGACTCACAGACACACACACACACACACAGCCAGCCAGACACACACACACACACACACACATACATACATACATACATATATATATATATGCCAATTAAAACACCAAAACCAGCATGAGGTAGTTTGTATCAACTATCAATATATAAATTGGTTAATTACCTAAAAGTAATAAGATATACTGTTCAGTTATTATAGTTTAAAATTGATTTTTAATAATATATCAGTAATACTTTCCAACTACTTTATTATTTATTTTATTTATTTATTAGATTTATTTATCTATTTTATTTTTTAGACTTTTTTATTCCACCTTTATTACTTTACAAGTAAGTCAAAGTGAAGAACATATATAATTCTCCTTCCTCCCCTTATTTTCCCCACCACAAGGACCCTGTGAGGTGAGTTGGGCTGAGAGAAATTTAACTTTTGAATGTTAGACATGTGATTCAAGGAATGTTTGTATAGCATATTAAGAAAAAAAAAGATTTTCATTCCAGTCTTGGTTGCAGTGAGATGGACGCAGGAAGGCAAGGGCTCTGCCTTCTGTGCACGATTTCACCCTGCTGGGGCCCCTGAAAAGGGCCTAAAGTTGTCCCAAAGAGGCAATGAAGAAAAAGGGGTGCCTTGTTGATCATGGAGAGATGGCGGTCTTTCCGTTTGATCCAAGGAAAGACCTCTAAACTGGCAGGGGAAAGACCGGCCACACCTCTGCGGCCGGTCATTAGCTGCTGAAACCAAAGAACAAAAACTTCAATTAGCACATCGTAAACAGCATGTTTGGAACTGGGTAAGAATATCGATCCTTTCTTTACTATTTTACAACTGAATTTCCTAGGAAAGGCTCCCAAGAAGCTAAAACCTCTGGATGTGAACAGAAGTAGTGTTTTAATTTTTTTTATGGGTGACAGAAATATACAATACAATTTATCAATACAGTTTTGATAAATTTGAGAATTGAGATAATTATTAAGATTTTCTCTTTGGAAAAAAATCATTGAGGTGAAATGTAAGAAAACAAACCCTTTGCTTTAAGAGTAGAAAATAGACTTTGAATGACATCTAGTGGTGGATTTGAGTATAGCACTATAACTAGCTCCTTGGCTGCTTGGTGACTTTCAGTTTAAGGGAGAACAGTTGGCAATAGAGGAAAATATTTTGGCATATTTATCATCCTGACCTTCTTGGACTATACATAGCTACTGAGCTTGGACTTTTAATCTCAAGAGCTAGTGGGAGAGAAAGAAAAAAATGACTTTTGAATACATCTGGCTGCAGGGAGGTTGAACATTTTGAATCCTTGGAACATTGTGGATTACAACCTTGCCTGACTGATAATCTTCAGGATACTTGAGACAAAAGATTACTATAAAATATAGTCTTTATGACTGGATTATAAAGGCTACATACAAAGATCAGAAAACTAGAGGAAACTTTATTCCCCTTTTATTGAGACTGGTGATACTAGAGGATTTCTAGGAATGATGCCTCAAGAAAAAACAAATACCTTTCAGAAGGAAATATTCTCTATGCTACAGCTAATTCATCAAACAATTGTTCCACACAAAGCAGACATAAAAAGAAACCATAATGAGACTAAAAATAATAGATGATATAAATGACCAAATCTCCAAATTAAAGCTATAACTGGAAAGTTCCCAGACAACGACTACAAAGTATGAACAAATAAACCAGAAATCAGACACGAAGCAGAAGAAATGGACCTAGAGATGGAGGAGATAGGAGAAGGGAAATATGGACTGCGATACACGAATAAAATACTGCAAGATCTACCTATAACAATGAAAATACAAAAGACCCTTTACTCCTTTTTCCAAAATACACCTGATGACAAGGAAAAAGATTCTAGAAAATGGAACATGCAGCGGCCAGGAGAAATGTTTAGGGAATGCGGATGGGCGGAGTTCCCCCCCCAAATACTCTGCCTAAATTGTCTTCCTCATGCCAAGCAGCTTTCACAAAAATAGAAAGAAAATTCTTGGATGATTTAATTGCCTTGGCCTGGAAAGCTACTTGGCAAAGAAAGAAAGTGAGAGTTAGATTTAAAAAACAGAGGATTTGATCTATCAGAGAGGGCACTATCTGTTTAATATACCTGAATATGATATGATTAAAAGAACAGATGACCCTTAGATATAACTAGATTTTTATAATGGAAGATATGATTTAGAATTAAAATAGCATTTTTTTCTTTTAATATGGGAAATTTGAAAATAAGAGGATTGGTATGAATACATTTTTTTAGCTGTATAAATGTAATTAATATTGAGAAAATCATAACTGGCAAAGATACTTTAAATATTGATGGGAAATCAAACTTTAATAAGAACACAAAAAACAGGATATTGACTTATGAATTGATATTATTGTTATTTGTATAATATTAGAAAAATATGATGAAGATGTATATATCTAATTTTGTATACATCAATAGTACCAAGAATCGTAATTGTCTAATGAGGGAAAATGGAAAAAATATGGGGAAGAAAGGAAGATCAAGGAAAAAATGCTGGATTGTGCAGTACTGAATAGATTTATATTGAAGAAGTTAATGTTAAATATGTGAATCCAGACAAGATGTTTACTAAGCTCTAAAGACTGTAATTTTTAAAAATTAATAAAACTTATAAAAAAAAGAAAAAAGAAAAAAATGATTTTCAATATATTGATGATTCCAGCTATCCAATATAAATTACAACTTTGGGGGAAGATATTTTCTGTATTCTATGTGTGTGTGTGTGTGTGCCTTTTGTTTCTTGTGTAGATCAAGGTATATTACTAGATTTTACAATGTGTGCTTTCATAGCCAGTAGCCTTGAGAGGATGTTTTCTGTCTCTGAATAGATTCTCAATTATCTCACAACTGGACGGTAAATGAATACAAATTGTTTTCTTTAATAAGAGGGGGGGGAGAGCGGGAAGGAAGGAAGGAAGGAAGGAAGGAAAGAAGGAAGGAAGGAAGGAAGGAAGGAAGGAAGGAAGGAAGGAAGGAAGGAAGGAAGAAGCTCTCTTTAAAAATGGAAGTAATACATTATACAACATACCTAATTTCTGTCATTAAGGAAATCAAAGAAAGTGAATTGTCCTACTCTTCCCCCTCTCTCCCTGAAGAGAGTCTTATTATATCTGAAGCCACTTTGGGAGCAAAACTTTGCTTGACTTGGAATGAATAGTCACTCTTCTCTGTGCTACTAAAGATAAAAAGCAAGCAACTGCTCTATCCTTCTTATTTCTTTTCAACATGTTGGATGTCAGTTCTCTTCTGGAACTAGTGGGTTGCAGCTGACAATACCAGAATACATTCAATTCAAATGTACCAGTTAAGTCTTTGAATGCACTATAAAGCTGGATACAGGTTCTCTTGATGTTGGAAAAAAAAAAAAGAATTGACTTGTCCTCTCTCACTCTCTTTTTTTTTTATGGCAACTAGGAAAAAAAATAAAATCAAGCAGAGAATACTTTTTGCCCTTTATGATTGCATTTCACCTACTTTTATGTTATTCTGTTTGGTGGGAGATGAAGAAACTTGTGGCCCATTTCTAAATTACAGAGAAAGAATGCTTTGAAAGTTACAGCACTAGGCAAAAGAAAAAAGGAGAGGAAAAAAAAGAATTAGAAATCTTCAGCTGATGTGAAACAGGGCATGGCATCAATTGAACATGAGGCTTAGGTAAGGAAGAAGATACACACTTTCATTAAAAGAGTTATGTTTCAGGAGGAACTGAACTTTTCACAATGAAACTGAAGATGCTCAGTATATTTTTGGAGTTATAGCTGGGGTCAGGGTGTGTTACCATGGCTTAACTGCAGGCAGTCTGAAAACTGCTTAAAAATATACCTGGCTTAATTAGATCTATCATTTCTGTTACTATAAGAAGAATAGATTTAGAAGGACTGGAAGAGGTTACAATGATCAAATGACATATGTATTTGCAATTTTAACAAGAAACTGTGTGTTCGAGACGCCGGTGCATCAGAAATATTGAAATAGGGATATTTCTGTTATTTCTGCTGCTCACTTTAATTAAAGCCTGTCCAATCAGCAGCAGGATTCTAAGAAGTAATTCTTCTCTCTCCTTTTGCAAATTCAATTAAAAGAAAATAAAACCTTTAACTGTGAACAAATAAAATAGCTTTACTACTTTCATTAGAGAAATACAAGCGAGATAGATGAGGTACAAGGATAAATTTAGCAGCTCTGAGCTCTTGAACACATTGGGGTGAGTCCTCATTTTCTGATAAAGAGGATTTATTGAACCAAGCAGTCTTTATTTACTGCCCATTTTAAAGGTACAGTACATATCTAACCCTAACCATAAGGGGGTGGTGGTAGCCTAGTGGTTAAGATGCTGGGCTTGTTGGCTGGAAGGTTGGCAGTTTGAGATCCAAATACTGCATAACGGCGTGAGCTCCTGTTCTTGCCTCAGCTCCCGTTAACCTAGCAGTTTGAAAACATGCAAATGTGAATAGATAAACAGGTACCACTTTGGTGGAAAGGTAACAGCATTCTTTCTATGGGCCTCGGTTTATAGTCATGCTGGCCATTTAATCAGAGAAGCTGTCTTGGACAATGCTGTCTCAGCTAGGAAAAGGAGATGAACAGCACTGTCTGGAGTCAGACATGACTGGACAGAGGAAACCTTTACCTTTACCATACCAGTTCTCTCCTTGTCCCTTTGCAGTAGGGTCAGCAAAAGTCTCGTGAAGCCAGTTTTTTTATTCTTCCTGCCTGCTATATCTTTCTTCTGGGCTGGATGTCCTCTCTGACCCAATCTGCTTCTCCTCCTGGCTCTTCAAAGCTTGATCTCTTTTCACTAGGCAAGTTCCTCACATGTGAAACTGCCAGGGTCTCTCTCCCTTTTTTGGCAAAGCTCTATAAACTTAGTCTCCCCAAGTTCTCTTTCTTTCTTATTGGCTTCAGGAATGGGACACATAGTTGGTCAAACAAGAAAAGCTTCCTGTTTTCTTCCTTTTATCTCTTGCTTAGCATAAGTAGCCTTTATTTCTTTAAAACTTCATCTCTTATTTCCTTATTTCTCAGTCCATCTCTCTCCAGGCTAATTTTTTCCTTTTCCTTTTTTCCCCTAGCCTTGTCATTTTTTCTTTTTCTCCCTGGTTATGGCTCTCTTGCACCCTAGCAGCACAATTTTTAATACATTTTCTAAGTCTTCCAGGTTTTGTTTCTGGCTTCCTGCTCCTTGAAACCACACAAGTCCTTACTTCTAATTTCCTTCACTGGCCCCAAGCTATCTAGCTGCAGTCATTTTATCTCTCTCTTAATTGTCTCCTAATTACTTTTTCTCTCAAGGTTCTTATTCCTCTGATTCTGACTTATTTCAGTTTCCTGACTTATTCTGGCCAACTTCTACCAGCTTGCACCAAACCTTTACTCATGTAATTATTTTTCAAACCTACTGCAAGCAAGTAAGTTGCTTGCTATGTTGCATCTAACATAGGGGTGTTCTCAATATAATTATCACACAAAATTGGAGAAACAAAATTTCTGTAGCATTTCTTTCTTGCCCTGCTTTCTCAGTGCATTAAAAACCTCTCTGAGGCTTCAGTCCCACATCTGCTTATAGACAAAATTCTTTTTCAAGTCAAACCCACCTCCTAGTGACTTCCTGGCAACATAGAGCAGTACTTTAGTGCTGTATTTATTGAAATATTTCCTTACATTCACAGACTATAGTCAGTGGTGGGATTCAGCTGGTTCGCACCACTTCTGCAGAACCGGTAGCTAATTTTTTGTTGCCCAGCCCAGGCCCAGAATGTGGCATCCGGAAGTGGCATCCACACAGAGAACTGGTTGATCACATATTTGAATCCCACCACTGACTATAGTCTAGTATTGTTAGAAGGTTACCCATCAACACACTGTTGAGGCCTGACCTACTTAGCTACTGAGCTAAGGTAAGTTGGAAGCTACAGATTCTGTATTTATATGCTTATTCATGGTTAAATGCAATGGAACTTTCTAATTATGAAATAGATTCATTGGCCATATAATCACAAAAGGTCATTGAAAGACAATCTAGATTAATCCAGATTTAAATATGGCAGCACTGATATTAAGGTCTGGTGTTCATTGCCCCTAACCTTACAAACAGAACCTTTTTCTGAGGTTAGGTCTCCATCCCCCCCCCTTAAAAAAGTCTGATGGGAACATGACTGATATTTTGCATTGTTGATATGTTTGCTTTCATCTGGGATAGGCTGGTAGAATGCATCAACATATTAGGGACTTCTGCTATGATGTACGCAGTGATTCACATGTTAACTTACTTCAAAACTTATCGTTTTGACAATCTGTTTTAATAATTGAGTTGGCTTCTTGCTAATAAATAATGGTGGTATTACTTTATTTTCAGCTGTATATTTTCTGGGGATAAGAAACAATAAGAAAGGCTATGCAAATTTACTTAATATGATATGCATTTATTGAGACTATCCAGGAATTAGCACATTTGATTTTTTTATTTATTTCCAATTAGCATAAAATATTCATATTATATAGGACTTCCACATCCCTCAATTTATTTAGTTCTTTCCTATCTTGAATCAGATTTTGCTGACAAAATCTTCTTGAATCTTTTTGGGTCTTCTTGGGTTAAATCGAGTCTGTTGCAGTTTCTGTCACAAAAAACACAATCAATATGAATAAATAATAGAATTCAAAACAAATACATTGGAGGAAAATTTTGTAAGCTTTTTGATTATATAAAACAATATCATTCTCCATTTGAGTTAGTAATGAATGTCAAAACAATTTTTGAACAGGTGTGGGATTACAAAAAGCTAGACATTTTATTTTCATGATTTTATCTATAAATACAATTTTCAAACAATCAACTAATTATTATTTTTAGGGTGATTTTTTTTAGCCAGATACAAATGGTGTCTGTCTACAGATTCAGCATTATGTGGACATTTTAAAATCAAAAGCACTGTTATTTTAACCAATAGATGCTGTTTCAAACATTTACAATTATTTTCTATCTCTAAAATGTTGAAATGTGACAAGCTTACCTAAATTCTGCTGAATTAAAAAAATCAGTATTGCTCAGTGCCAGCTTGATTTGGGATCAGGGTTTCACGTTTTATTTCTCCATTGTAGTCGCCACAAAGTCCACAGGTATTGCCTTGTATCTTTGGAGAAGTTTTTATCTACATGAATAAATGAGATGTTACCATATAAGCTGAAGTGAATTTTCTTGCAATACCATTTTTTAAAGAAATTCTTGCTCAAAAACAGAAGTTTGACTTACTCTCAGTGTCATACCATCATATGTCACACTTTCCAGGCCATATTCGGGAGCCTTGACATTAACGTTGTTGCTTGTTTTCAAAATTTCAATGTTTGCTGAAAAGAGAAAACATCGCTTTAAAAGGCTGGCTGTTTATTGCAAGAGTTTTCAAACATGCATACAAACCCTTAATTCTATGTGGTTCTTGCTTCAGGATGTGATTCTTTCCATCCAATCATGTTTTCTATCAGATCTTTGAAATTCTGGGATGCTAATTTGCCCGAAGTGCAAATATGCACATCCAGTTTGTGGGCAGGATACTCAGTCAACCGAAAGGAGATACCCCATTTTTGATAAATGTTTCTTTCCATTCAAATGCATTTTGCTACATTCTTATGGTATGTAGAAATTACTACTAAGTAATTCAATAAATAATTATTAAAAAAATAAAGTAACAGAGCCAGACTACAAGGAGTATATGAACTGATTGCTATTAACTAAGATAGAATAGGGTATCAGATACAGTACCTTCTTTGTTTGTTGGTATTGGTGCTTCTTTATGTAACACAGTCAGCATCCCTGGGGTATCTTGGATTGTGATTTCTCTGCCATTGGGAAAAACAAAAAATGCATTTTGTTAGAAAGTTAAACAAAGGAACAAAGAATAATAATTAGCAGAAAAGAGTCAGCCTTTCTCTGAAGAAATGCTTTTGCTATAACCACTATGGCTTGAACAGATGAAATTTGATCCAAAGTACTAAAGTTGCAGTGGACTTGTAGCTTTGGTAACATGAAAACAGATGCCATTTTTTCTTCTTTTTATGACCCTGTATTCCCTTTTATCGGGATGGAGTTGGGACAACTGAATGGAGCTGATGTTTACTGGCTGGATGCCTTTCCTGACACCTATGTGGAGTTTGCGGCAGATATTTTTTCTTACCACCCCAATAGAGAAAGATCTGGTGTTGCCTAGGGTTGAAAAGATGTCATGTTCTTATATAATTCAGATTGGCCTGAAATTTTTTTCCCACAGATGATCTAGCTATAGGAAACTGATAAATAAAAAACTGTTTCATTGTCACCAACAACACACACTGAGGGGTCCCTGGTGCTTTCCAAGCTTGGTTATTTTCTTGTAGATATTTCATTATCAAACTAGGTAACATTATCAGTGCACAAATATTCTCTTTTATCGGAACTCATACTGAGTTACTTCAAATCATCTAGCGCACTTCTCCTATACCATGACTGATCCTTTTCAACTAAAACTAAATGTCATAAAGAAATAAAGATTCTTCCCCTGTTCATGGTACCTTACAATGTCTCTGTTGTTTTCCTTATTTAATTTTTGTTAATAAATTTATAATATATTATTATATTATATATTATTATAAATAATTCATTAACTCTAACCCTGTTGTTTTACAGCTGTCCTCACATTGTTTGAAAAATGCTTGTATGTAAATGACACAATAGGTAATAGTAATTTCATAGACTTTAATGTAACAGTATTTATGACAAGTCTATCGATAGAAGGTTATCAAGCACCAGGCATGTCAAACTCACGACATCACGTGACGTCGCGCGACGTATCGGAGTTTTTTCTCCATTGCCAGCAATGGGGTGGACACGGTTTTGGGATGACGTGTCCGGCCCGCAGGCCAGCAGTTTGACACCCCTGACCTAAGCTATCTGTGTAAGAATTCTAGAAACTCTTTCTTTTTCTTTATTATTTTCTTTACTATTTAAAAGTAATTCTCTGCAACTCACATTCATGGCTATAAGCTTGTTCAGATGAAGGCTGTCCTGTAATTCTGTCAAGGCTGGAAGCAGCCATATTATATTCTAGAACAGGGGTAGTCAACCTTGGCTCTTTTATGACTCATGGATTTCAACTCCCAGAATTCCTGAGCCAGGAATTCTGGGAGTTGAAGTCTACAAGTCATAAAAGAGCCAAGGTTGACTACCCCTGTTCTAGAATATATGTTTAGAGAAGGCAACTAATTATTGATATCAGCACTTTGTGCTGTGCTTACTTTTTTGCAAAGTAATTCTATTATTGCCTTATACAGTTATGAAGTAAGAAGTATGAGATCCAATGATTTGTATGGATCATATGTTTTCCAGCTTTAATTAGAAACCAAAACAGCATGACTACCAGATGATGGGAAGTACATTTTACTCTTTACCCCTAAAGACTCAGAGGTTTAGGCTTGCTAGGAATTCCATGAACGGGCCAGGTTTTGAACTTTGAATGATCATGTTGAAATTCATTTCTGTAAGTCCCTGTAGGGCTGCCTTAGTTGAAATGTTCAAACTCAATGGATTTTGTGGCCTTCACTATTCATAAAACCTGGCCATCTTTGCATGATTTTTTTTAAATTGATAAATTAAAAGCCCAGATTATAAGAAATCCTTTTATCAAGAATGACAGAATAATTTCTAAAAAAACAAAAAAAACAAAACCTTATCTTGGACACAGAAGCTATTTTTTAAAAACACTATTAGAAAAGAAGCTATTGGAAAAAAACTTGAAGCAACTTTCCATTTGGTTAAACTTACGTTACGTTAATGGCTATGTGAATTTCTTTTGGGAAACCAGGTGTGGGATATTGGATCCATATTTGGAAGTGTGGTTTATAACTGTCAGATGTGGTGCAATCCTTAACTATCAGAAGGTTGCCTTCTCTCTTGGCAATAGTCGTGTTGAATATCTTGTTGTCGAAGGTCTTAATTATTTCATCTTGCACCTCACATACAGCTGAGAAGAGAATAAATAGCAGGGTCAGAGTTAAACTTCAGTCCTATCTATTGGAAAGTGAAAAACCTAAACAAATTCTCAACTTTTGCCTAATAATTACATTAAGCATGGCAACACCTATAAACCTATCTTGCTACATAAACAATTAAGGTAACAATTTCAAACCATGTTGCAAATATTGCTTGCTAATATATTTACCTAGGAATAAGGCTTACTTAAGAACCTCTAGTTGATATGAATGGAACTAGATGTTAAGGAGCAAAAGCTCAAGATAATGGGCTGAATCATTATTGATTATATTATTATAACTATTATATCATTAACTCATATTTAATCATTGTTATGATTAAAGTGGATCTGCTGAAATCAACCAGACTTAAACAACATAATAATTACCTTAAGTCTCATTGATTTCAACCAGCCCAGCTGAAACCACACTAAAGCTAGATTCAGCTCTATGCTAACCAAAAAGTTGCCACAAAAAGATAAACGTAGGTAATACTGATCAGTCTACTAGGTACTGGCTTGGTGTAAAAGCAGCATTAATTTACCTTCAACTTGTCTGGACAGCCATAAAGCTACATTAAATCTGCTTAATTTTGGATTCTGATAATATGAACTTGGGATGCCAGGGGAAAGAAATTCAGGATCAAAATCATCATTGTAAAAGGTTCTCTGGAAAGAAAATAATGAAGACATAAAGATCAACGATGCTACAAATGCATTTGGATTTAACATTTCACTAAGTAAAGAGAAATGTTTATCATCTAAAACCATTATTTTATTTATTGAGCCATAAACAATGGATTGAAACAAAGTACAAGGAAGGAAAACACATTTTCTTCCATTCACCCAGTTCTACTTGATCACAATAATTTTATATGGATTGTAAAGCGGTTAAGAATACATGCATGAAATAGTCCCTACTATGCAGATTAAAAAGCAAAATATAGAGAATTGAGCTGTGACCATTGTAAATGTGTGATCATCACCAAACACCTGATTCACAATCATTTGACTGCAGTGGTTGTAAGTGGCAAGGACTGCTCATCACTTTTTTTCAGAGTCATCATAAATTCAGTTGCTAAATGAATAGCCATTAGTTAAGGACTATCTGTGCATGTTCATAATGCACCTGTAATGCAGTATCGTTCTGAGTTCTTGTACTTTCTTTGCTAAAATAACTGAGAGAAAATGTGGGTCTTTCCATTGAGATGTCTCCATTGAAAGAGTATGTGTTTCTTATCAGACTTTCTCCCTTGCTCAATAGCGTTATGTGCCAAAAAACCCTCAGTCTCACCTATCTACCGTGTTTCCCCAAAAGTAAGGCCTACACCAACATAAGCCCTAGCTTGATGGGGGGGCTAATATAAGCCCTATCCCAAAAATAAGCCCTAGTTTTGGGGTGAGGCACACACCTAAAAATCAAGCTAGAGTGGGGGTAGGGGTGTGGAGCTGCCCCACCTGCCCCGCACCCACTTACCTTCAGCCAGGCCTCTCCTTGCCAGCCCACTTCTTCTTCTAAGGCCTCTTCTGCAGCCAGGCCTCCATTTCTCAGTCACAGGGCCTTATGGAAGGTCTGTGCAGCCAAGAACTGAGCTACGGATTCAATCCATAGCTTGATTCTGCAAGATCTCAGCAGCTGAGCACCAAGCTATGAATTGAATCCATAGCTCGGTACTCAGCTGCTTAGGCCTTCTGGAAAGGCCTGACTGCAAAATGCAGGCCCGAATACAGCTGCAGAACTTCAGCCCAAAAGAAGTGGAATGGCTGGGTAAGGTTGTCGGTACTAGAGGTGAGGTAAGACCTACCCGAAAATAAGACCTGATGCTTCTTTTGGAGGCATAAGAAATAAATAACACCCGGGGAAACATGGTAATAGTTGTACTAAGTAGGAAGCAAGGGAGGTGGGTTTTCATAAAATATGTATAAGCGACTGAGTGACTGTAAGCAGAGATCCACATTATAGTACTGTTTTTCCATATTCTCAATGGTAATAAGGATGAATACATTTTTGAAAGTCTACCTCAAACTAAGAAGAGTCAGATATTTATTTCTCTGATCCAGTTTTCTTACTTCATAAAAATCTTCCCAAGTCAAGTAATAGATAGTATTAGGATTTTCAACAATAATTAAAGCATGTTTAGTTGATAAACCTGCTCAGATAGGTGACCAATAGATCAACAACGTATCTTCAGAGGTTAGAATTAGTGGGGAAATGGCCTATATTTATGTCTCTTACTCTAGAAAAGCATACACACAAAATAATTAAGGATGGGAACTGATATAATTTACACCTTGAACTTTTAAATGATCTCAGTATTATATTCTTTGAAATACATGCCTGTAGCTCAGTCTATCCTTTTCACTATACCATTCCATTAATTATTCAAATTCAAAAGTGGAACCTAATTAGTAATTTGAGAAAATGGAAAATGATCACCTACATTGGGAATTTTAATGATAGCAACATAAATTTCTGGAGTTTTTTCAACAACTCTGAATATAATCTCACGCTCAGGATTCTTCTGATAAAGTGTGGAAAAGCCCAAATGATATGCAACTGCAGGAAGTAAATACATAAACCTAGAAAAAAAAATAAGTTATGAATGTGATTTATTTCAAAGAAAGGCAACAAATTTCCCACACCCTAAAACCAGCCTCCATAATTCAGCAATGTTCACTCCTTCCCAAAATTAAGGGTGGGATTAGAAGCCTTAATTCCCTTTCCATAATCCCAAAATGGCCTGAAATTGCTGCTTAGGTATATTTGTGTTTATGTTTGTACGTGTGTGTGTGTGTGTGTGTGTGCATGTGCATGTGAGCGTATTGTGGGGATAATGGATAGAGATTGTGTATTTTTTCTCCATTTTTAACCATGAGACCCTTCCCCCAAGTTTCAACCACATTTCTTCCCAGTCATCAACTTACAACAGTTCATTGTTTGAAGTCTGAAGTCACAACAGCATTGAAAAAGTGACTTAAGACCATTTTTCACACTTATGACCGTTGCAGCATCTCCATGGTCACATGATCAAAATTCAGATGCTTAGAACTGACTCATATTTATGATGGCTGCAGTGTGCCAGGGTCATGTGATCATCTTTTTGCGATCTTCTGACAAGCAAAATCAATGGGGAAACCAAGTTCACTTAACAACTATGTTACTAACTTAATAACTGTAGCAAGAAAGGTTGTAAAATGAGGCAAAATCCACTTAACAACTATCTCACTTAGCAGTAGAAATTTTGGGTTGTAAGTCGAGGACTTCTTCTGTTTTCCACTAGGAAATTTAGTCACATCCATTGAAAGAAACATTTTAAAAATTCACCATTGGAAGAATAGGAAGTTACAGAGATCTTACCCAATATAATGTTCGTGTCGGAAAAAAGAAAGCTTGGTCCATTTCATTTTCAGTTGGATAGCTTTATAAATTGCAACTTGGCCCTCGGACAACTTGACTTCTATTTTGTAATCCTTGCATTCATGTCCCCAGCTCAAAGAATACTTGAAGAGGATGTAAACACACACAAAATATGATAAAAATTGACAGAAAAATGGTGTGTAGGGATCATCATTGGGTTGCATCACTTCATTAATGGACTTTGTGTCACAATGTTGTGTAACCTATGGCTGTTAGCTGTGCCAGACTGTTCCAAATGATTTGGAGAAATATTTTCTGCTCCATCATAATCAAGCCTCCTGAGTAGTACCAAAATGGATAGGGGTATGGTGAATGATTAAATAAAAATAATATTTGCCGTTTTTGCATTTTGATTCTAAAATTTCTTCCTGCTAAAGTTTTGATTAGCATTTCCCCTTTTACTTTGTGAATCTTAGAGTATTAATCTGGTACTAGAGTCCTTTCAAGAGCCCTATTTGAAGATGCCATTGATTTTAAAATGATTTTGATTTAATATAAAAATCTGGATTAATTTTAGGCTATACATTTAGCCCAACAAAGAAAGTTTTGGAATACATTGGCTTCTGTAATGGAAGCTAATCATTTAGTAAAAAAAAAAATAAAAATAAATCAGAAAGTAAAAGAGAAATAATAAAATAATCACTACAATGATTTATTGTTAATAATGGAAGAATTTAAATTCTTCAATATTTTAATAGGTACCTATTTACCAGTGAAGATTTAAAATTGGAGCTCATTCTTCTGGATGTACAGTTTGACTGACCAGTTAAGATACTATACAGAACCCTCAAATTCCCAGGCCGCTGTAGAGGCCTGAGGTTGAAGAAGACATATTGCACAGGGGTAAGAATGATTTTTAAAAATATGTTGTTGTATAAGGCAATGAAGTTTAGTTACAAAGCAACTTTGCCATTGGAATTTTTTTTTTAAAAAAATAATACCTGGAATCCAATAGGTTGTATAAGGCTGTCAAGACAAGCTCTCCATTTAGTTTGGTTGAGGTTATTTGCAACAATTTTAAAATAGGTTTTGCGGTAGTCATGCTTTTCATACAGGGAAACACTGTAGCCCTGATTTTTGTTGTCACTCCTAACTGCTTCAAGCACAACAGTGACATATGGCAGAAGCACACCTCCAGGGGTTTTTGCCTAAACAGAAAAACAAAAAGATGAGATTTTAATCTGTACTTTGATTAGGTAAGATTCCAAAAGTATTTCTTTGGTGAATTGTGCAAGCAGCAGATAAGGAAGAGGGATTTTAATCCTTCTTTTGTTTTGTTTTATTAAAATGGGCTTCTAAAACTGCTCATTAGATATTCCAACCAGAAAATGATACTGGAGTAGGAGCTTAGATAAGTGGCTACTAATGTTAGCAAAAGAAAGGATCTTTGGTCTCTAGCTACCTGTATAATTTTGATCATTGGTATTTCAATTCAATTGTATTTTTAGGAGTTCTGCACCTTTATGGTTTATCCTGGCTAATTTTAGATTGATATATTTAAACTGTAGCCCAACACAGAAAGGTTTGGAATACACTGGCTTCTCTAATGGGACCAAATCATTTAGTCAAATAAAATTAAACATAAAGCAAAAGAGAAATAATTTAAACTAGGCTAAAAATAAATACATAAGCAAAATGCTCAAGCTAAGCTCATTCCTAAAGTTGGATGTATCTGTGTATGTCTGGGTATGTACAGTAAGTGTATGTATGTATATATGTACACATGTGTGTTTATGTGTATGTTTCTCTGTATTACCTATTCTTTCCAGGGAGGATTACACACACACACACATGACAACCCGTGACCCATTGCTGAGGGGAGGGGGCCAAATAATATGTGGATTGTGTGGAAACTCTACCCTTGCTCCCCACTTGGTGTGTTACCAAAAGCCATCTCTCTTGCAGGGAACAACTGAACAACCACCAGCAGGCCCCAGCCAGCCCCATCTCACTATGCAACCTTACAGATTTCTGGGATGTACACCTGGAAGACGTGGTGGTGTTGAAGAGCCCACAATTCCCCTAAATTTCATTCCCATGGCAGTCATGGGTCCCAGCATTGTGTAAGTTAGCCTATTTGAGTTACCTTGGTTCTATAGTTGTTGCCTTTACCAGGGTAGGCAACCTCTCTTTTATGAGTCATGGACTTCAACTCCCAGAATTCCTGGGAGTTGAAGCATAGCCAGCTATGCTGACTCAGGAATTCTGGGAGTTGAAGTCCATGACTCATAAAAGAGCCGAGGTTGCCTACCCCTGCCCTATACTTTCCAATTTTGTCTAATTGTTTGTTAAAAACAGGGATAAAAGTTTTAGTACTGCATATGTGCCTATCTATTATCTGTTATCTCTCTCCTATATCTGTCTGTCTGTCTGTCTGTCTGTCTGTCTGTCTGTCTGTCTGTCTATCTATCTATCTATCTATCTATCTATCTATCTATCTATCTATCTATCTATCTATCTATCTATCCATCTATCTATCTATCTATCTATCTATCTATCTATCCCAGGCTAGAAACCAGGAGACTGTGAGTTCTAGCCCTGCTTTAGGTATGAAAGAAGGCTGGGTGACTTTGGGCCAGTCATTTTCTTTCAGCCCACAAAATTAGGCCTGGATGACAATCCACTTGGTAAATTTCTGTGGTAGCCAATGGATCAACATTCAGTCGATCTGAAAAGTGGACCCCGCACCTGGAGAAAGTGTTAAAGTGTTAAAGTACTTTTCTAAAGTGAAATTGGTTTTGTGCAGCCCTCTACCATCTGCCAGAAGAAAGCCTGAAGCAAGATATAGGTTGATTATTTTAGCCAATATTTTAAAAACGTTGGATGAATAAGAGGCTGAAATACCAATTCCATTCAATTCAGTTCAGTTCAGTCCATTTAATTTTGTTTTACTTTTTATAAATAATCGGAAACCTATAAAAAGGAACTGGGGTTAATACGTTTTCGGATTCATACACATGTTGCCTTTCCTTTCAAGGTAGTAGCCAGGTTATTAGGGAGTTTCATGGAAGAGAGAAAATCTTTACTTTGGTCAGCCCAGTCCTAATTATTCTCTCTGACCTAATGAGTTATCAGCATAATGGCATCATAATCCTTATCTCAACTGGTACATTATTCCTTACCATTTTTTTCTGAAAATACATATATCACTTGATATATCAGATTCCTTACAGTGATTCTTTTTAGAAGCATATCAATTTATTTACTTTCCTATTAATTATATAAAAACGTACCTCCTCTTGCCAGCTGGAGTCATTTCTGCTGCTTGCTTCAGAATAAGGCAGTGGATTGCCTGACTGCACCATGTAATACAACATTTAAACAGAATTAGGGATACTGAGTGGCAGAGGACAAAAGTAGAAGAATGGAAGGGAATGATGAAGGTCTATCAAAACACAGGAGTAAATATTTTTCTGTTTCTGTGCCCTAAGCATTAATTGTTGAAAGCCATTTTCAGTTATGTTAGAAAGTTGTTATATCTGTGCAAACAGCAACATTCTACATTTGTATGTATTGGGGGACGGGAGGGCAACAAAAAATTAAAGCAGTCATATCTACATGCACTATCAGATATTGTGTGGATGTAAGAATTGGTTTGTCCATTCCAAAGTACCATCTAAAATAATATAGGCTTAGTTTTAGAGACCGGACCCCCAGATTCAGGTCTTGTACCTTTTGGAATGTCCTTCAAGAAGCTAAAAGAAAGAAGCTTGGGACATTTTAAGACACAATTCTGAAAGTCCCCATGAAGCTTGACTGATTTTATCTATATCAGAGGAGCATGCGTGCTTTGAAGAATTACTATCTCGTAGACTGATTGTATCAGCTTAGGACACATGGTATTGCTTGTCTCAACCAAATCAGGTGAGAAACCTGTAGAGACCATCAAATGGAAGTTTGGTGAAATACATGAAACAGGATGAAAACAGCTGTATTATTGAGGCAGAGATTAAAATCTATGAAGAAATACAAATATCCACTACAGGCTAATTTACACAAAGAAGCCTGGCTGGTGTTCATTGGCTGAAACTACAATGAGATGATGCCTGGTCACTCAATCAACATTTCGGATAGATGTGGGGGTGGCACTCTTTTTTTTAATGAATTTGATTGAAGGGAGACCACCACTCATTCCAGCATTTGGAATTAGGTCTTTCTTTGCTTTCAAGCAGCACTATTCTGAAAGCTTCTCTGCAGCTTCAGAGCTCTGCCCAGCCTTCTAGACAGATTGACTGGCTTATTTATTTATTTAGACAACTTATATGCTTGCTTAAATATAACAGCAGTTACATGAAATACCTTGCTGGTAAGTCATAAAAAACAGTCTCTGCTGATTAATTTATGAGTGTGAATGGGGAAATCTGATCTCCATTCTCTAGCCAACACATTTGCTTGAGTTAAATTATTTTTGCATCAGCTTTGCCACCCCGCAGCATTCCACAATCATGTCTTATTTGGATTCCTTTTCTCCAAAGAAGGATGGAAGTATCAAGCATTGTAATCTATCCATTTTAATCTAAAGAAAGTTTAATTGAAAAACCACAATAATATTGAAACTCACCTGATCGATCTGGCTTTCCCTGAAGTGAAGATTTGCCAGTTCTTGGCCTCCAAGTTCCTGCAAAATGTCAAAGAAGAAAAAGCAAAGCAAGAGTTACCCAAATGCACACTGCTGCATGCATGCATTCATGTTGGAAGCTCTGAAGCACTTCTGGGTTGAAAGGATTAGTGGGTGACGTCACCCTTGTCCAGGGAATGCCCAGTTGGGGGTTCCTTTCATGTACCCTTTGAAGTGGTACCTATTTATCTACTTGCAATTACTTGCTTTCAAACTGCTAGGTCGGCAGGAGCTGGAAAAAATGACGGGAGCTCACCCCATCACACAGCAGCAGTTGGGTCTCAAACGTGGTCTTGCTGATTGTCAACCCAGCATACTAACCACGGGAGCCACCATGCTCCTAGATACTCTAGGAGTGCTAAAGGAACAGACAAACCATATCCCAGCCAACAGAGATTTTGAGTTAATGCCCATTGCAAGGAAAGAGTTCTCTCAGTTAGAATTGATGGGTACCTGCTCATCATAGTCTTCAGCTGGCCTCTTGGTGCGTTTCTTTTCCGCCCCATCTTTCTCCCTGCTTGGATGACTCTTCTCCTTTTGCTGTCTTCCATTAACATGCTTATTATTTTGGGTGCTGTCACTGTTATCGCTGCTGGTATCACTGCTGCTGCTGCTGCTGCTGCTGGTATCACTGCTGCTGCTGCTGCTGGTGGTGGTATCACTACTGCTGCTGGTATCACTGCTGCTGCTGCTTCTAGTATCATTAAGTTGTTGCTTTTTTTCCAGATGATGATTTTGTTGGAACTGAGGCCTTTTCTGATCCTGTTCCTGTTGTTCATTATCTTGCTGCTGGCTGGTAGGAACTTGTTTTAGACCTATAAGTTTCTTTAAACCACTCTCCTGAAAATCACTGCTTGATGAACTTTCAATGCTCTCACCAGAGCTATCTGGAAGGATCTACCAGAGAGAAGAATATCTGTCATCTCATGTAATCTGAAGGTTTAGGCAAAATTGATATGCAGAATTAATGTTCCAAGAGCACAGATTTCTCTGCACAGTTGTCTTATTATGAAGCAAGCAGAAATGAATCCAACATATTGAAAAAGTGAGGATTAACTTTCCTAAAGAGCAAGATTCTTCTGAAGATACTGATGGGTTGAGCAGAAGATAATATAATTGCATTTGGCTTAATGCTAAATGGTCATGCTGAGATTTCCAATCATATGTTTCTGACTTGAGTAATTAGCACATAGGAATGGGCAGTGGGATTGTGGGAGATTGACTCATACATGGGGGGTTGGACTAGATGACCTCTAAGGTCCCTTCCAACATCATCATCATCATCATCATCATCATCATCATCATCATTATTATTATTCTTCATTTCATCCAGATTTGAATTTATCTGTGTAAATGGACTTCTTGCAGAAGGTTGCTCTCATGGAATCTTATAGGCCAGGTGTCCCCAACCCCCAGTCTGTGGACCGGTACCGGACCGCGGCATGCCAGCAACCAATCTGCACAAACAAGGAAAGCCCCATCGACCAGGATGCAGGCAGCACACAAAACCACGCCCTGTCCAGTCCGCAGAAAAACTTCTCTCAATGTAACTGGTGCCCTGGTGCCCAAAAGGTTGGGGACTTCTGTTATAGGCCACATTCCATGAACTGTAAGCATTGCTCTTTTATTTAATGGCAATCAATAATATTCATAGTCCTAACTATGCTGTTCACATTAGTTGGCAACTTGCCTACACGATGATTTATGGAACTAACTGCATAGTTCATAATAGGAGTGAATTTTGGTGCTGGCAATATGAAATTTGGGAGTGTATTAATTTAGGGTTTATTTATTATTGTTAATCACTTGAACCTAATAGCCTCTCTCTTCCTAAGGGATAACAATCTGTTTTTGTGGAATAAGGCCATGATTTTCTTGCATCCTCACATATAGTCTCTGTGTTTAAACAAATGTTTCTCAGGTCCATATAAATTTTGTTTATTACTCTGCAGGGCAAAGCATTTGATGGATTTCTTTCTCAAGAAATTAGAGGAGAGAACGCAGTTAACCAATGCAGCTACTTGCATAGTAAAGCCCTAAGAATCCACATTGTATTTTCAAAGTCAAAATAACTTGGTATCTATAAAGGAAAAGCATATCATCCTAACAGTATATAACTAATTATTTATGTAGTTCTCTATGGGTATCTTTAAATACCATAAAATTTAAAATAACACCATCAAATGTTTGCCTAAAGGTCCTGTATGATGGTGGGAGGGGGACTTGAATGGTTGCTAAGTTACCTTCCCCTCAAAAATAAATACCTTTTTCAATCTTTTAATTAATAGATCCTTTTCTTCATTTCTTAACAAATGCACCATCTGTTCGGCAACACGAGCACCTCCCCGAATGGTGAATCGTAGCTTCTCAATTGGGACATTTGGATCAGCTGAAATTATTTGAATTATTATTAGTGGAACTATTGATACAATCATTGTTTTACTTTTAATATACACACACACACACTTATATGTACTGTATGTACAAACACACACATATATGTACTGTAGTGACATAGCAAGACATAGAGCCATTCGATAGTAATATAAATTTAGCAATAGAAGGTAGCAGCACCTATCTGACTTTGGCTATTCTTAAAGTAGTCATAGAATTGGGGCTGCTTAATACTCGTATAGGAAACCCCCAGGGATCCTAAGACTTTAGGCAAGAATGTAAAGTAAAAAAAAACATATTAAAGAAGGTATTGGCTAACCACCACCATATTGTTGCCAAGAATAATGGCTATGTCATTATCAGAGCCAACCTTGATTTGAGGACACCTTTATCTTTGTCTAAAATCCTACTGTTCCCTCCTAATGTTATTTTTATCTCTGTGTGAAAAATAACAATAAATATAATACATAATGCTGCATTACTAAACATTAAAAAGAGTTCTGAATTAAGGATCAGAAATTGAGCACAGTAATCCAGAACAGTGGATAATTTAAATTAGTAAGTGGTAAAAGAATTATTGGTAGGTTAACCAGTAAAATTTCATCGTCTTTTTTGAAATATACTGTTGAATTTATGTCATTATTACATCATTTACTTAACCTAATTACTAGGAGCAAGTGTCATGTATTCTACATAACACTATGTGTCACAGTGAGATTTTCACAGATTAGAACACAACGCTTAAAAGCTCCATTTATATTGCTTTTTCCTGTAGCTTTTAAGTTTTTGGTGTGAACTAGAAACCCAAAAAAATAAAAATAAAAATAAATAAATAAATATGACTTACATTCCTTGAGGGAAATTTTGAAAACATATTCTCCAATGAAATTGTATATAGATCTTCGTACAATACATCCAGCATGCATATCTGCCCAGTGGAAGCAAGACTTACAACCAAAAGTACAGGCTTCAAAGCATTTGGTTTGGTGAATTGATTCTAAATACTTTTCCAGCTGTGCATTGGGATTTTTAGCTGATTTCTTTTCTGATGGAAGTGTGTCCTGGTTGGATAATGAACGTATTCAGACACATTTTTTTTCCTCACAGTTTTATTTATTTCCCTGAAGATGGCCAATACTACTTTTTTGAACAAAAACAGCAGTGTAAGTGATACCTTACACGCTTACTATCTATCTAATTATCACATGACATGATATTACATTGGTTAATCTTTAAGGTACAATTAGATTCTTTTATATTTCACTCCTTTGGATAAGGATAAATAATTCAGCTGTGCCATAATATTTTAACTTGATCAAATATTACAGTCACCTTCTGGATGCTCTAATAAAAGAAATGCAGCTATTGCTTCAACAACTTAAATGATATCTAATTTTCTGTTCTTGTAGCCAATAACGGTTAATCCACTGCAATCCATACTAGTTAGTTGTCATTAATTTCTTAACATGATTAACTCTGAATCAAATTTTGTAGCCTTTAATCACAATTAACCTTCGCTGGATCAGAATGCATTCAATTTACTTCTCATTAGATACTAGATACCTGGATTCTAGATATAAGAGAATAAACAGGCGGGGTGTTCCTAGAAGTATCTAGGTTAATATTATATTATATATAATACAGATAGTACTCGACTTACAACGGTTCATTTAGTGATTGTTCAAAGTTATAACTGAAAAAAGTGACTTACGATCATTTTTCAACTTAAAATCTTTGTGGCATCCCCATGATCATGTGATCAAAATTCAAATGTTTGGCAACTGGGTTCATACTTACGACCATTGCTTATGACCTTTTGCAATCTTTTGACAAGCAAAATCAACGGGGAAAACCAGACTTATTTATATTAACTTATCCACTGCAGTGATTCACTTAACAACCGTGGCAAGAAAGGTGGTTAAAAACTCACTTAACAGATGTCTCACTTAACAACCAAAATTTTGAGCTCAATTGTGGCTGTAAGTCGAGGACTATCTGTATAGTATAATGACTACTTAAGTTATTGCTAATATCTTGGTGGGAGAGGAGGACAGGAAACAATAAAAATAAATTATTTTATGCCATTTCGATTGCATATAACATCAGCAAACAAATAAACAACCTTGGGAAATCCAGTGTGGGTTACCTTTCTTTTATCCCCTTTTTCTGATGACCTATCAAAGGATTTTACTATTGTTCTAGACAGATTTGCAGGGAGGAAAACGGGGGTAGATACAACAGCAGGTGCCTCTTCAATATTGCTTGTGATAGCAGATGTTTTTAATCTGCAGGAGAAAAAGAAACATAGAGAACGTTGCTTTAGAAACACAAGCACGGTGAAAAAGAATTGAGATACGGCTTGTAATACTGAACTGATGACAAACACCCTTTCCTTCCATTTTGCTCCACCAAATCTTAACATGATGAATCACACAAAATTAAGATGGTATTGCCTGAAGCTGTTTCCACAATTAGGTACAAGCCTCTAAGAGAGTCAGTCTTTGCACTGGGGTAATGCTTTTGTAATTATAAAGCAGAGACTGTATAGTCCAGGCAGAAGAAAAAAAAAAGAGATGAAAATATTTTGTTTGATTAAAAAAAAAAGACATTGACTCATCATAGAATTCCCTATCATAATTCTCAGAGAAGTTCCATTCTTGCAAATTAGCTAATCTGGTTGCTTGATCTGCAGAATCCCACAGAGCAAGTTCTTTATTCTGCTGTGGTAAATGACTCTCTGTTAATTATTTAAATAGCTTTAAATAATTAATTCTGATGTTGTCCAGATATATTAGGACTCTCAGAATTTTTAGCCAGAATTGGTCAATTCTGTAGCCGTGACTGTATATGGTTTATATGCTCCATATGCAGACATGGTTGGTTAAAGCTATCTAAAATTTTCAAAAATAGAGGGCAAAAACCCATAATATATTCTGTCACACCCTGCCCCAAAATTACTCTATAGATTTGAATGTATAATGTTAAAGATTTGCAAGATCAATTTCAGCCCCACAAAGAAGAAATCAGCTTCCTGAGAAGTTTCTTTTATTAATATTATCTATAGTAAGAGACTCTAGTAAATCTGACTGTGATTTCTTTCTCCTCCAGAGAAAGAATGTGCCTGAGTCGCTAGCATATTCCTTCATCTTGTTTTGAATTTAAGCCATGTTTCTCTCTCCTCCCCCACTGCTTTGGTAATGAATGTGGCCTATCTCAGTTATCTTCCTTACTTAGTACCCACATGGACATATTCTCTTTGTCTCTGTCTCTTTCTCTCTCTCTGCTTATGGTGTATCTTGAAAGCCGCTGATGCCATTGCCTTGGGCTTGTTTTAGGAACACAAGCTGATGTTACCTGTTCTGGCTGTGAACCAAGAGGCGATCCTTGTTCCCATGTTGAATGTGAAGCTTTTCAGCATTTCACATTCAGGGAAGGAAACCCAGAACACCTCATCCTTTCTACCTGAAAAGTGGCTTTGCATTCCTTTCATCTCTTCCTTTTCTCTGTGCCATGCTGCTGAATTCATAAGGTGTGCTGCCGTTGCAATAAATAAACAACAGAGAACAAATAAGGTTTATTTTCCCCCCAAGTTCTCTCTTATTCATAATGGATATGATAACCACATCCTGAGGTAAGCTTAGCTAGAATGTTCAGGAACTAAAAACAAAAAAAAAAACAAAAAACCCTTAACTAGATATACTTGAGGACAAGCTGAAGGGATCAACGAAACTACAAATCAACTTGCATTATATGATGGCTCATCCAGGCAAAATAGATTAAAGGGAAGTGGATTTCACATTTTTCACATTCAATAATTTAAATCATCCTCAAATCCCAGGCTGTATATCTCTAGACACAGATCATTGGCATTCCCACCTCTTTATTCCTGCTGCTTTTTTTCTTAGCCCTTTCTAATTTTTTTTAAGCCAATAGCCTAGCTTTATCACCTTAATGATCAATTCTTTCTCACTGAGCAATGGAAGCCAGCAAATCGAGTTGCATCACAGGATACACATTTGGTTCTCTGCCAAATCACATAGCACAACAAGAAGGAGATGCCTGAGAGTGGGGTATTACTGTTTCTTTGTGCTTTGGCATAAAGAAAAAAGTTACAAAGAAGGCCTAAAGGTAGAGTATGAAAGTGGATTTGTGATCTGTGATTCCCTACTTGAGGGAGAAATAAAAACAGAACAATTGTACACTTCCTGACTACAAGAAGTGATTCTTTTTTTAAATCGCAGCAACATTTTACATAGGTACATGTGGTATAATTGTTTATTTTGCATTTATTCAACTGACTTGGTGGACCTTCAAATGCTTAAATAATCAGTTCAGACTAGCATGGATGCTATGGATGCACTAGATTATTTTTGCTTGATGTGCAAATGACAGTCTGTACCTCAAAGAAGTGGCAAGATGAATAAATTTAAAAGAATAGTCACTGAATTTTGATGAGCCTTTATACGTTCCATATTTTTGACAATGGCTTGAAAGCTACAACTGGCACATCATGCAATGACTGTAGAAATCTGATAGTGCCAAGTTATGGCCTTTTAGTAGTCCCTGCGGGGATTACCAGAAAGCTTTCAGGACCAATTTCTAGTTGATTATTAGTTTTAAATCTGCCTCAATATATACTGTATATGAGCTGTGGTGTCACAGTGGTTAAAATGCAGTATTGCAGGCTAACTCTGCCCATTGCTAGGAATTCGATCCTGACCAACTCAAGGCTGACTCAGCCTTTTATCCTTCCAAGGGTGGGAAAACTGAGGACCCAGACTGTTGGGGGCAATATGCTGACTCTGTAAACTGTTAAGGAATGCTGTGTAAAGCACTATGAAGCAATATAAAAGTCTAAGTGCTACTGCTATTGTTATAAGCTAAGATGTATAAAGGACTGCTGATCCAAATCAAAACTTTCTGCTTTGTGAGGATGCCTAGAAATGGCTTGCTCCAAGTTGTACCCTGACATGAAGTGAGAAGAGCCCAAAGTTTTAGTTGGCTCCCTCTTTAGTGGCATTCCAGAATATCTTGAAAACTTGCCTTAGAGAGGATTTTGGTGCTTCAGTTTTATTTAGGAGTCACCATGTATTATTTTAGCTGTGTTTTACTTAGTATTCCAACTACATAGTACATAAATTGTTATTTAAAACAAAATATAATATGTTACCTGCTTAAATTACATTTCTTGCAATACACAACATTATGCTTCAAATGCCTAAGATAAGGGGGAGGTATTGGAGAAAGAAAAAAACACTCGTAGAGAGAACAGCTGCATGGATGTGGATTGGGGGAAAAAGAAAAAGGGGAAATGCAAATTATCAAACAAGCCTGAGCGGGAAAGTGGAAGAGGGGGTGAGAACAACCAGGGAGATAGGGAGGGTGTTCCACCTATCCTGGAATCCAAGGAAAATAAGATAAGTGATGACATACACGTAGATAAGTGGTGCAGGAAGAAATGGATCACCGGAGTGCAATCCACCCAATTAGGTCCGATGACAAGATCGAGGAGCCGGGCACAGACCTTGGCTTGCTTATAAGGGACTTCCTCACTTCCTAGCGTTTTAAGCCCTGATGATGCTGGCAGGTGACGGCGAAAGCTTGGCGTTTTTTAATTAAACTTTTTATAGTTTTAACTACTCTGGTGCTCATCTTATTTTAAACATGAATATACCCAGGGTTCATATTTTTAATATTATTACTCATGGATATGACAGAGCAGTTTTGCTCAGAGCTAGGAAGTGGGAGAAGTTTGCGCATCGTATTTCATCAACTACTGCAAGCTAACATTTCTACACGGCTGCATTAAGGAGAACCTACCACCAAGGTTGCTGAGGAGGAAACCGACTGTTGACTCCTTGGAATGCCGACAAGCGGTTCGTCAGTTTCAGTGCCGTACCATGCACGCGCTGATTAACGACCAACACAGGCGCATAAACAACTTAAAAGCATAGGTCCAAGATCATCGAAATTACTGCAGCACTGAGTTGACAAACCAGCATTTTTGGATGCTGGATCAACATATTCAGCTAACTACAGAATGGACAACCTGGCATACGACGGAGGCACTCCAACAGAGAATGAACAATCTATGTAACTCCTATAACAGCACCTACCCAGGAAGATTGGTATGCAACCTGTCTACTAAAATGTTAACCCAACCACAACTTACCTTATTGCAACGGGATGTGGGCTAGAACCTCATGGATGCAGGTACGCTTGACTTTGTAGCAGCACTTGAACCTGCTCTGTGCCACATTGGAGCGGGGGAGGAGGTTAAGAGTTCCATTAAGCAGCAAGTCACAGGCCTTATAATGAATCATAGATGCTACCAAACGCTATCTAGGAGTGAAAGGGAAGCCCTGAGCCAACTTAAAAACGATGACACTATTGTCATACTCCCAGCAGATAAGGGGAGGGCAAATGTCGTCATGGACAAGGCAGTATATATAAACAAGGCGCTTGAATTGCTCAATGATAGAACAGCATACAAGGTGGTGAATAAAGATCCCACGACTACACTCAAAAGCCATACTAACAAGCTTCTTGATGGCTTAAAATGGAATAGGAGGATGGGTGATGACGTTTTGAGAAGGGTGTGTCCCAGCGACTTGGCTCTTGCCAGGTTCTATGGACTACCCAAGATACATAAGCCTGATGTCCCCCTCCGTCCTATTGTCGCATTTAGGGGCACTCCTACCTCTGAATTAGCCAAGTCGCTGAGCATGCGCATCAGCCACCTGGCCGACAATAGTAACACCACTGTGAGATCGGCAGACGAATTCCTAAAGAAAATTAGAGCCCTGAAGGTGGAGCAAGATGAACTTATGGTTTCCTTTGATGTGGTTTCTCTTTTTACTTCCATCCCACAAGACCTTGTGGTCATGGTCCTGAGGGATCGATTGAATCAAAGAAACCCGGAACAGCAACAGAACTCCCTCCAGACTGAAGATCTTATAAAACTAGTGGGAGTCTGTTTAAAGACTTACTTCACCTTTCAGGGCACTATATTTGAACAAACTAAGGGAACACCCATGGGGTCTCCGATCTCTAGTATAATAGCAGAGGTGGTGCTCCAACAGTTAGAACACATAGTGATGGCCCAATACCAACCAAAGTTTTGAGCCCGCTATGTGGATGACACATTTGTAGTCATCAAGAAGCAGCACAAGACTGACTTTATGGGCATCTTGAATTCGGTATACCCAGACATCCAGTTCACAATGGAAGAAGAAAATGAGGGCTCATTAGCATTCTTGGATATACTAATTCAACGCCAACTGGA